CAGCAGTTGCCATTGTTTGTGATTTACTGAGGGAGAGGAATAAAAGTAGAGGAGGGAGGGATCGAAGGGGGTTGTCGCGAGAATTCAATAAGACAACAAGCAGCAAGTGTTCTGGCAGACTTCTTTGGGTGGCGACGGTTCTCAAAGATCGCGCTAAGTTATTATCTACGGTAAGGTTAAGCATATCCAATTACGTGACTGAGAACTCGTGATTGGCTTCGGTTGGGCGATCCTCTACATGACATCGTAGAAAACAACGTTCCACTGTTCCACGCAACCGCGACAGGTTGATCACTCAATCTTCAAAGTTTCGTTTAGTATTTTAATAATGTACCAGTAGCTATCTATTGAAGTCACTATTGAAGTAGCTTTGAAGTCGCTATTGAAGTGCAAGTCGCCCTTGACGCAAACAAACGGGGGTAGTCCAAGCAGCAACACCATCAAAGTTTGACACGATCGCACCGGGACGAACGATTGATGGGGTATCGTTGCTGTGACTTTGATCACAGTTCATCTTAATCATGGCAAACGAAGTGTGTATGGTTGCAACTGGGATTCACAGGGTCCAAGGAAGTGGAAAGGAAAGAGTAGGGTGCGTCGCTTCAAGAAGACAAACATTTCGGGAGAAGCAGCCGAGAGCGGTGCTCGAACGATCATGCAAGTGAGGCTCAAGATAGCTACTGGTACCCAGTACCGCAAGGAACGAACGACGCCGACGTGGACGCATTCGACCGACACGTACTGTATCTGGTACACCAGCCACTTGCCAACGTCAATGGCAACACGAGAGCGAGTTCGAGAGAAGCAGATATCCTTCAAGCTGCCAGTTAGGCAAAGTATACGTGGGATATTCGCACTTGGGAGTTTGGATTCTGCTGACTTTGTATCCGTATCGCAACGTCGTACGAATCCGGTAGGCCTGGGGATTTTTCAGATGGAAACTTGCTTTCCAGAACAAGGGGATATACGGTCAAGCCATCCACAATAGTTGTACTCCAAGCACTCAATTCTTCCGGCTTGTACGACTTGACTTGTCCGTTGACGGACAAGTCAAACACAAAGTCATCAGGGAGCTTCATGTGGCCAAACTCCAAACGAGCCAGCACAATACCGTGGTGGACTCCCGCAACAAGGAATTTTAGCCAGCCAGTCTTGACCGTCCCCATGATACTGCCCTTGAAATGATTGAAATTTGCCAGCAAGCACGGATTGTGGCTTGTACGCCGGCAACGAGACTGGGCACTTCCATCACAGAATCCATGTGGGGCACCCACCAGCCGCCACCCAGAACCAGCCGCAACATGTTCCGGTTCCTCTATTATCATTGTTCGCCGGGAGTGTGACGATGACTCTGCAGGATCCACTGTTGTTTGGGCTGGTCTCTTGGCAGAATCGGCGTTCTTCCGATCATCAGCGGAGAAAGGCCGTTCCCTGCTTCTCGATATTGGCCCACCATTGTGCTGGTCAGCGATTTCAAGCCTGCGACCACCCCAATACATTTCGTCCAAGAAAGCATCATCGTCTTCTACTAGCGTGTTGTTGGCAGCAATTGCAATCATATGCACGTCAAGATAAGGATCTGGAACCAGCCACGCCAACGGAACAATGTCTGGGCCATCGTAGGCATCTTCATCGTCATCCTCCATTCCCTCGATTAGGTTGTTGACAATGGCGGAGAGACGTAGGTCGCTCGGAACGACCCGGGGGGTCCATTCCGTCCACGCCCGCATGGGAACATGACATATTCGTGGGTCAAGATCTTTCATCAGTAACTCGCAGCTTGCAGTAAGCCCCGCGGCTTCGCCAGGTTTTCTATCTTTCAATGTCATTACGGACTTCCGAATAGCAGTATAAGTCTCTCCGACGTGCCATAGTGAGGGGTCCAATGGGAGGGAACTTTTTTCTCCACTACTGAGCAATTCTTGACGCCAAATATCAATGGCAGCATGAAGTCCCTGCAGAACAAGCAACGTCATTTTCCGTCCCTCTAGTTGATGCTCGCGGTAGCCAGGGAATCCCTTGTCATGCATCCCCACGCCATTGTGCTGCGCTACTCCATTCCAATCGCTTCTTGGCTCCCAGCACACTGAATTGTAGACATGTTCGCAGCGGTGTTCTTGATCGTGCGTAGGGGCGCAGAGTTGGCAAACAGGCATATGGGTTTTGTGGCACATTTGGATTCCAGGCTGAATATTGCCGACCCACGCAGAGCGTTTGGATGCTAGAGTTAGCTCATCAGTGTTCGAACTGAGGATTATTGGGACGCGTTCTCCCGACATGATGGCTTGTCGATGCAACAGATCAAAGACACCAGGGCGTTCTTCGGTATGCTCGTCTTGAATATGCCAAAGAATATCCGTTTCACCATAGATATCTGCCCCTCCTAGGGCTGAAACAGCGGTAGAGGCGTTCATGCCCATGTTGCGGCTAATCAAGGTAATGCCGAGCTTGTGCAAGACGGGTTCCATGATATAGTTGAACTGCATGACTTGGGACTGAGCAAAGTTGTTGGCGCCATAAGTCTCCATGGTTCCTGCTACAACCACATAAAAGTAATCTTCTGTGATAATGGCATGGAGCAGTTTTCTCACAAGTCCATCCCAAGCTGGGGTGCTCAAATAGGCAACCCCCGGCAACGGTTCGAGTGTAGAATGATTCACTGCGGTGCCATTGAGAACTTCGAGGTTGTCGGTCCCTATAATCACATCAAAAGGCTGCTTTTCATGCACGTTGGGCTTTCCATATTCCTGCATGATGCCCTCCTTCACGGCTTCTATCAATGCATCAGCTTCATCCAAGAATTTGGCAAGGTATTTCTTGTCCCGTTGCCAGGCATTGAGTCCTGTAAAGTGCTCCAAGGGGATATCCCTGTAGAGATAGGCGTCAAAATCCACCGGATTGGACATTCTTGGAGGAGGATTATTCCATTCCCCAAATTCCTCTTTGATTCGTTGCATTCGTTCCGAAAAGGCATCTTGTCGCTTGTCCAATTCCTCTTCAGACGCTGTATAGATCCCCGAAGAAAAGGGAGACAAGTAGGGATCATGCAAGTAATGTGCTTGTTCATTGAGCTTGTTCTCTAACGTTACATCCCATGGCCCCATTCTGAGGCTGACATCCATTTCGATTTCTTCTTCCAACTCTTCGTCTTCCAACACGTCTTGTAGTTGTTCTTCCAACACGATATCTGGTGGAGGCGGCGGGGGCGGTGGTTCTTTGTCCCTATTATTGTGGTTGACATTGTTCAACCCTCCAAAGGAGAAACTATGTGCGACCGGAATGGGTGGAGGTATATTGTCGTGTTGGTCGCCTGTAACCATCATAGGCCTGTTGTTTTCTTTGGATCCACGGATTGTACCGATCCAAAAGACGAATATGGCCAACAGAGCCAAACATGCGCCCAACATTTTCTTGGCTGGAACAGAGAGCTGCTGGATTTGGGCAATCGCGTATTGAATGTACTCCCTCACGATCCCACCATCAGATGCCGAAGGCTCTCCCTGACCAAACAAACTGTAATTTGTCCTGCTGAGAAAACGACCCATCCCTCCTCCATCTTCATGATGGCGACTGGAAGCAGAATAGTGTGTGGAAAACAACGGCTGATGGTCATCGGGAGCTTCAATTTCAAAGGTATCCATTGCAAGAGGAATAGGGTTTCTTTTCTAAAGCTTCGCTATCTAGACACACCAAGACCTTTCGTCCACTTGCTCGAATGAATGCAAGGCACATCGAACAATTCTGTGTTCGTGCCGGCAACATGTTTGGGACGAGGCGTTGAGCGAGAGGCATGGAGACTTTCTGAAAGCGGTATACAAAGCATTATTAATAGTAAATGAAGGCTTTTCCGGAAATTTCTGAAATGCGACATTTCCGAAAGGTACTAGGTAGCTAGTACGAAAATACGACAACGATGTAGCGAGCTTTTGAAACCTTGTAATAGCATAGTCCCCAGCAAACCTGATAGAAGCCCATTGAGTCCATTGAGTACTCCCATGCCTGCATATGCCAGCCCGTTTCATGGCATTGAAACACAGGAACTCCAACAAATTGGGTTACTTATTATTAGAGCCGGCTCAGTGGCAATGACCGCAAAATTCGCTCCAACCAATCGACCCACAAAACACAACACCTTTGGCGTTGATATCGAACCCCACAAGACAACACAGACAGCAGCTACTACCGGTAGTGCATGTACCTTACCAGCACTCTTCTAGTACAGTATGAACTACCAAGACAACAATGAGCCTGCCTCTGGAATTGGCGCAGGCACAGGTGGGCGCATAGACGATGAGTCGGTCGTGGAACTACCCAGTGTGATTGACGTCCCTGATCGGCCAGAAGACACGAGCTGTGCTTCTTCCGTCACAACTCATTTCCAAGATGCTGAGCTACTTGCCCCTCACATGTACCCAACAGCACAGAATCTGCAGGATACCGAGGACATGGAGGATCCTACCTTTCAGCCGGTCGCACAGCAGCCAAAAGGACTGACAACAAAAAACCAGCCTATTTTACCACCGCTTCCAGAGGAATCCTCGCAACAAGACCCCACGGACAGCAAGAATATCCATACAAGCAGTCAAAAATTGGACGAAATTAGAATCCTCAAAGAAAATGAAAAAGATACCATACAAGATCTCTCTGCTGAGCCTCCATCCATGGCTACCTTGGAATCACGAATCAACCAAAAGACCCACGTCTACTCAGTTCAACAGATTTCCTTTCAAAACAAGGGAGATGCCAACATTGGCATTAGCCCCGCCATCCAGAAGGGGCACAGTGAGGATGAGGTGGCCAAGAATCAGAATGAACTTATTGGGGCCCCTAACATCAGCCAGTGTGTTGATTCAACGTTCCGTGGCAAGGACAGGAGCAACCAGGCCATTTCTTCAATGGATCCCGTTGTCAATGAAGGTGCAACTTCCTCACCATCATCAAAAGCGATTCAAGAAACCCCAATGTTCATGAATATGCCATCCCTTGCTCGTACGAGGAGAACTGTGGTGCTCGAGAGTATACCAGGAGCACATGCCATTCAAACGTTCCAAACCAGACAGCAAACAAGTCAGGGAAGCAGTAGTGCTGGTATGAACACTGATGCTCAGGATGAAGAAGAAGCACAAGCAGATATCCAACAACCTCCACCTGAGTCATTGGCAGAGGCAAGACCTGTTTCCGAGGATGACTTGCCCGTTGCTACTGCTGATAATGGGAACAGAATCAGACAGAAGAGAAGCAATTTGCGGTTTTATCTCATGGAAGGCATATTTGTCCTTCTCATTGCTGCTGGTATTATTGTGGGCACAGTTTGTGGAACAGGACACTGCAGCCAGAATGTATATGTGGATGGCAGCAGCACAGTGGCACCCACCACAACAAGAGATGCGGTCGCAAAACCTGAAATTGAAATTGCCTTAAAAATGCTTTTGGGCAGGGATTATTTCCAACATGTGGATGAATCCAGTAAAGGTTTTGATAGTGACCTAGCTGGATTCTTGCTGAAAACTAGGCTGAAGGCGTTTGATTGGATTGTCAACCAGGACCCAATGCAGTTGGAGTATGATTCTCCCAATTTGCTTCAACGATTTGTTCTTGTGCTCTTCTACTATCAGACTACTAGACTTCAACCTTGGAAGGTGTGCAACCCAGCAGCAGCTACCCAAGGGAGTGCAACGTCTGGTTTCTGTTATGCACTTAATCAGCTCTCTGGTGAGATAACAACCAACATGTGGGGGGACCGGTGGCTCTCTGCTAGTCATGAATGCCATTGGGCTGGAATCACTTGTGGAACAGCCAAATCCGAGGAAAAGAGAATCAGTGGGCTACTACTTTGTAAGTTCGTTTGCATGGACTTGCCTGACTTGTGCATGCGCTATTAACTGATTCCTAACAGTTTGGATTCCTTGAATCTTCAGCTTCAAACCAGCTCAATGGTCCACTTCCATGGGAAATTTCGCAATTGGCACAACTGAAGCGATTAGGACTGAGTTACAACATGCTGACAGGGACACTTCCCCCAAGGTTGTTCTGGAGCGATTATTCCTTGAGTGTGGAACATCTCAACTTGATTGGAAACAGATTGACTGGTACTATCCCGGGAGAATGGTTTGTGAATCTGCACGAAGGAAATGGTAAACTTGAGCTGCTTCTGATAGCAGAAAACAGGTTGACCGGGACAATTCCTTCTGAAGTGGGTTTGTTCCCTTTGAGGGTGTTGGTTGCAGGAAGAAATGTGTTGATTGGGTCACTTCCAATGGACCTATTCTACCAAAGTTCATTGGGGATTCTTCGTGTGGAAGACAATCAGGTATGTGAACCCGATTTTCTTGCGCTCGTGCACAGGCTAGCCATTCCAACAGTTGACATTTCTGCTTGTTGCCATTGTCAACTCAAAAGATCACGGGCACCATACCCACTGAAATTGGCCTTCTTGCAAACTTTAGCCAGATTGATGTTTCTGGCAATAGCATTTCCGGGTTCTTGCCCTCAGAGATTGGCTTGGCAAAAGGGCTCACTGGTATAAATCTGCATGCTACAAACATGCAAGGAACGCTCCCCGAAGAACTCTACACTGAACTCAATCATCTACGACGGTTGTACTTGAATGGGTGCAGCTTCTCTGGGACAATCAGCTCATCACTTGGTCTTTTGACAAATCTTGCGGGGCTGAACCTGGCAAACAACCACTTCCATGGCACCATTCCAAATGAATTTGAGGCATTGACCGGCCTGAGTCAACTTCTGGTGAATGGGAATAAGCTGTCTGGAACTGTTCCAGTATCTGTCTGCCAACGCTTTGTGTATTTTAGGGGAAAAGAAGTTTTATTGGTGGCAGACTGTTTGCCCAATACAGAAACTGGAGTTCCCCCCATCAATTGTGGAGATGATTGCTGTACCAGTTGTTGTGGTGAGACTGGGGTTTGCCTTGCCAACTGAATATGCGCACTGTCTTGTTCGGAGGTACTTTGGAGCTTCACTGGAGAGCTTCCAAATCTTTTTGGTGTGTGGGTGCTCCTCTTCTGGCTTCTTTGCTACGGAGATTGTCGCGATTGGTAGCGGTATTGCCGTCATGGTCACTCCCTCTGCGGAGGCGTCATGGTCGTTTTGACGTCAAACCGTCTCAAGCAACTTTGTGAAGAGTCACACTCATCGTCTTCAAAGTACCGTACTTTTGGCCAGCCAAACCCACAGATCTAGCTAGTAGCAGTATTGGTAGGCTGCACATGGGCTCAGACACCTCTACCATGCCCTTATCTCTTGGATGCCGGCAATCCTCGTGGAAACAAAGAACCGAACCATTCAAGTCCATTTGCGGGGACTCAAAATCATGCAAAGGAGGTTTGCCTGAAAGGTCAGCGTTGCCAAAGGAAGCAAAAAACAACAGTCCTCGGGAAAAAAAGGCTAAGTAAGGTTCGACAAGTCACATACTTTCATCAGTCGTATCGTCTGTCATCCTTCCAAATAATTAGAAAAAGGGTACTACCTTACTGACAAAAGACTGAAGGAGTTAAGGCTCGTCACCCAAAACTTGATCGTTCCATGACAACCTGGAACCCCATGATTTCTGGGTGGCTGGGTACATGTAGAAGTGCTCCAGCCAGGGCATACGGCCTGGTGAACATGGAACAATCAACGCTTCGTCTTCCAGTGATACAGAGGAGCAGGGAAGAGACCAAATGGTTCTAGCAACCGTCATGCTCATACTTCCACAAAGATTTGACTAAAAAAGCATTAAAAAAACTTGACTAAACTCCAACCACGCCAGCAACATCATGTGCCGTGTAAAAGAGGAAAAGAAGGAAGACGAGACTATCACGGAAGAATCGAGGAAACTTGCTGATCAGGAAGCCAAACTCAACATTGTCCTATTTCACATTGCCAAACACGCCTCATCAGCCTCTCCTCACCCTGAACTCCGCACCATCCACTCCGCGTTGCAAGCCGGAGACAAGCTCTCGGGAAAGATCTTGTCTGGAGGATGGACCAATTACTCGTACAAGATCTACCTGGAAAGCCAACCTGATTGTCGTCTTTTTGCCAAAGTCTGCTTTGCTTACGCTCTTTGGGATCCTTCGGAGGAGAGTACCTACTACGACCTCGACCGACAAACTACCGAGTTTCAATTGATGGAGCACTTTTCCGGCAAACTCAACAATGCCAAGGTCGTCGCCACCCCCTATCTGCTCTTGGACGTTTCGGATGATCTACGCATCATCGTCACGGAATGGGCATCTGCGGAAGAGCAATGGGCGAACCAATTCATTGACGGCCACGTCGATCGTCGTTTGCTTCCGTCGATTGCCGAGACCATGGCATCCATTCATCTGACGACACCAGAAGAACTTCCCAAGAACTTGAATCAAGGAATGAAAGAAGGTCTCGGTACGATGATTTCGGCCTTTGACAAAGACGTTGCCAACCATTATGAGAATGCAGACATGTCGGCCGATGCTTGCCTGTCTCTCCTGGCGGAACTTGGCCAAGATCGGGTGTTTGCGATTACAGAGGCCATGAACCTTGCCGCAAAAACGGACCAGTCCATTCTGGGTCATGCGGATCTTCACGTCTTTAACATTTTGGTGGAATCCAAGCCAGATGACAATGAGTTGGAAGTGTTTGGACCCAAGGGCATCTTTTGTATTTGCGACTGGGAAATGGCCCATTGGTGCCCCAAAGGCCGCGATATTGGATTGCTCTACTGTTTCCCTATTGCAGCGGCGTACTTTCATGCTACCCAAGGGCACGTGAGACAGGCCAATGATATGATAGATTGTTTGCGGGAACATTGGGACGTCTATTCCCTAGCAATGACAAAGAACGGCAACAAGTCTCAAGCGTACCTGCGGGAAGCCTTTCGTTCAGTTCTTGGTTTTTGTGGAATGTTCCTGTTTCTCATCTTTTATACAAAGGGTGGGTTGGTGGATATGATTCATAAGGATGGCCTCTCGGACGAGGATGTGTCCACTATAATGGGTTTGCTGGGCAAGACAGGTCTTCATTTTTTGGAATGGTCTTTCATGGACGATGTGGATGAAGCAAGCCTGGATCTGGAGGGTCTTCGCAAGTTGTTCCAAGCCTCTATCGAGCAAGACATGGCAACTTTGGTCTCCTCCCGAGCAGCGAAGCGTCCGAGCATTCGTCGATCATCGTTGCTCCGTAAGCAGGGCCGCCGTGTCAGTGATGCTTCTCTCTTGTCTATGCAGAGCATTCAGGCCACTTTGGAACTTGATGAGGACTTTCAAATGTGATCATATATACAACCTAGAGGCTAACATTTAGCTAGCTTATATGGTTGCAACTACATTGTCAAAACAAGTTTTCAACTCCTCGTCACATCAATCGGAGCTTTTGTTCGAACCAAAGAACAACTCCCGAGAGCACACCCTACTCCCACTGAACGGTGACGTCAGATTTGAACGAGCGACACGTATGCGATGGACCCCATTCAAAAGTCAGCTGCTCCTCCAAAACTGCTGCCAACAATGCAATTCGGCAATCCCAATCAATCGCACTACCGGCAGTCTGCTAAGTCTTGGCAGAGAAAAACCAAAGTTGAAGACATCACTTTGCATTGGCTGGTTGGCTGTCCTCCAGCGTCATTTTGGACAGGTACCGGCACTTCATTACATGTACATCGTCCATTCCTCATTTTCTCATCTCTCTCAAGTTGGATTTTTTGTGATCGAATCAAGCATTCACAGCACAGCAGAACTATGGCTTCCTTGGCGATCACCAGGAATCTACTGAGACCGGCGTTTGGGTCAAAACTCACGCGACAACAACAACCTGCATCCCGATCGGTTTCTACCTTGGTTTTATTGAGGCATGGACAGAGTGCATGGAATGGAGAGGCTGCGAGGTTCACTGGATGGTGTGATGTTCCTTTGACGGTACGAGGAAGGGTGGAAGCCGTGGCATCTGGACATTTGATGAGATCACGAGGTTTTAAGGCTTCCAAGGTATGTGTGGCATTTACCTCCGAACTGCAACGAGCCCATGAAACCTGTGAATTGGTGTTAGCAAGTATGGCAGGCCATGAACAGCACACGTGGTCTGGCGAGCGCATACGACGAGATTGGAGGCTCAATGAACGGCATTATGGAGCCGTGCAAGGAAAATTCAAGAATGATCCAGAGTTAAAGGCTACCTTTGGAGAAGAAACCTTGAGATATTGGAGACGATCCATGCATGGCAAAGCTCCTGATATGGACCCGTCACACGAACATTATCTCCCTCCACCGGCACCTTTATCCGAGAGTTTGGCAGATTGCCAACGTCGTGCCTTGGATTGCTGGGACGACGCCATTGCTCCCGCACTTTTCGATGAAGAGGGACTGCCCATTCCACCAGATGACAGAACCATCATTGTGGTGGCGCACGCCAACACCATTCGATCATTAATGGCGCATTTTGATGACGTCCCAGAAGATATGATCTCAAAGCTATATGTCCCCAACTCGGTGCCCATTCTTTATCGGTTTGATCGAAGCATCTCCAAACGAACACCCATTTCCATCAAGTTACAATCTGCTCACGGAGGTTCTCATGCTCGGTGGATGATTTCGGCCCAAAACCATGGAGCCGTCAGAGATGCCATTCGCAAGGGTGGAACCCTCACGAGAGCTCTGTTTGACGCCTTGAGCACGGCTGATTTCTCCGCCCCTCCCAGCCTCACAGTTACGGGGGCGGAATTAGAAGTGGGTGTCAGAACGCTCATGGGAGATTCCGAAGTGGGTGACTGCGTCGTTGTCGGTGTGGCCAAGCAAATTGCTCGCGAGCTGGGACCCAATGATGTCATTCATCTGTCCGAATTCGAGCGACGCACTCAAGAAGCATACGAAGGCTTGACATTCAAGCATCTCAATGACGAAGATGTTGTGCCGGAAGAGTTTGGATCCTACTAGCTACCAGGTCCATCATTGTGTCTTGGATCGACCTCGAGCACCACCAGAATGCCGTTTTAATTATATATCGATCGATATACAGTCTGGTGGGTGCCCTGTCTAATGAATTTTGAGATCTCCAGCCACACAGAATGGAGCAACAGTCGGTTGGAACTGTTCTTGTGATATGGTCAATTTTGAGAGAACCAGATCTCGCCACGCACTGCCCTGTGGGTGAGTTGAGATATTTATTTATTTGTTGTTCTATTCCGTTGTCACGGCTAAGAGAAGCAGACAACAACGGATGATTTTGCTACAGTACTTTGGCCATGACGCGAATTGCTATCTTTTTATAAAAAAAAGAGTAAAGAGCTTGTACAATACATTGAAAAACGAATGTGCTACCAGTAGACTAGTATTACGATGTAGCAGAGGTTTTAACTGATGTTGCCTTTTGTAGCTAGCCCTTGGCCCTGAAGGTGGCAAGAACCAGCCAATGTCAGTACCAGGATGTATAAGTATCGATCATCCTGGAACCGTCCGGGCCTAATGCGTTTACCGCCTGCACCCGGACCACCACAAGAGCCTGTAACTCCGCTACAAGTGTACCATTCCTGGGAGCAGCTTGCCCCGAAGCCGCCAAGCTTACTTGCCATGGTATATGTCATGTAGTGGATTTCAAGTAGCAAAGACTTGGATACTTCCGCTTCTTCTGCAAATGGAAGTGAATGTAGCGAGCCGCACTGCATGCAGGAAAGGAAACTACGTACTTTACCTCGGCAGGTAAACTGCCTGAGTTCTCAACCCTTTAACCTCGGCAGTAAACTGCCTGAGTTCTCAACCCCTTTAATTACGTCTCATGGAGACGACGCACCTCCTTTTGGTTACCCCTCAGTTGCACTCTGAAATCGATTTGCCCGCGTTTACTGTGGAAAAAAGAGTACCCGCACTTCAGTTGCAGAATCAACGGTCATGTGTATCACGAAATTTTAGATGATTCGTGATAAAAGAACCGTTGAAGTTACTAAGGTTAAGGATAAACTGATACAGTAGCCTCGAGCTCAGTCGCCATTATTGAAGGCGCAGCACTGACTTCTCTCCCTCATTGAATTCGTATGTAAACAGGAGGTAAATCCAAGCTTGGCCGACAAAATGTGAGTGCTTTATCCAATCGGCCGATCGATCGAAATCGATTCGAGGTAAGCCTATTATCAAGAGTGTTAATTGAAGGTACAGCACTGACTTCTCTCCATCATTGGATTTCTATGGTATTCAGGAGATAAATCCGGGCTGCCGTAACAGGCGAGTTTGTTTTATATATTGAGTCGATCGTTTGCACCTCTATTATCCCAAGCCTCACTCAAGCCGGTCGTCTTCGGTGCAAATTCGAAAGCCATCCCTCATTGAACCTATGGACCATGGGATGGCAGTCAGTTCTGGGCCCATGACGGCCAAGTTGTGCAATTTGAAAACAAGGTAAGTCCTGGTTCTTCATTGAGCACAGAAAACAAACTCATATCTATTTGTTGTTTTCTCTGCTGTTCTGCTGACGGCGAGGAAATCCATTGTCGAGGTCGATCGCTCCGGATAAGAGAGGAAGAGGCTGCCGTTACGAAGAGGCTCTGTTAACTCAAGCCCTATCACAGCTGAACGACGGCAAAGATCGTCGTTGAGTCATTGAATGGCTACAAGAGGAGGCTACACGACAACACTCATACGCACAGAGGAGAGTGGATCCTACTACTGGATCATCCCTCTGTTATTTCCTAGTGTTTTGGTGTGATTCATGTGTCGGTACCCACTTTCCTGTATGCACAAGTCCTCGGGCGACGACTTGCTTCTTTCGTACGATAAAGATAGATAAATAACTCGTAAGATATAGTACTTGTACCGGATGTAGCGAACAAAGCCAAACCTGAGTGTGTTCGTACTGTTGCCACTGTCGTCGATGTATGGAGCCGGCTCAATGGCTGGTTGACAATATTCGGTTGTGTATCGTCATAAGGATCAATAAGGTACTTTCCGGAGTGTAGCGAGCAAAGCCGAACCTGAGTGTGTTCGGTACTGTGGCCACGTCGCCGATGTAATATACGGCAGCCGGCTACAATGGCTGGATTGACAATCTTCAGTTGTGCATGTATCGTCATAAGGATCAATACAGGTACTTTTACCGGAGTGTAGTGAACAAAGCCGAACCTGAGTGTGTTCGTTACTGTTGCCACTGTCGTCGATGTAACTATACGGCAGCCGGCTACAATGGCTGTTTGACAATTTCGGTTGTCATTGATTCGTCATAAGGTCCAATACGAGGTACTTGTCCACGGAGTGTAGGAGCAAAGCCGAACCTGAGTGTGTTCGGTATGTTGCACTGTCGCCGATGTAACTATATGGCAGCGGCTACAATGGTTGGATTGACAATTTCGGTTGTGCATGTATTCGTCATAAGGATCCAATACGAGGTACTTGTACCGGAGTGTAGCGAACAAAGCCGAACTGAGTGGTTCGGTACTTGTTGCCACTGTCCCGATTGTAACTTACGACGGCTACAATGCTGGATTGAAATATTCGTTTGTGCATGCATTCTCATAAGGATCCAAATACGAGGTACTGTACCGGATGTAGCGACAAAGCGAACCTGAGTGTGTTCGTACTGTTGCACTGTGCCGATGTAACTATAGGCAGCCGGCTAACATGGCTGGATTGACAATCTTCGGTTGTGCATGTATTCGTCATAAGGATCCAATACGAGGTACTTGTACCGGAGTGTAGCGAACAAAGCCGAACCTGAGTGTGTTCGGTACTGTTGCCACTGTCATCGATGTAACTATACGGACCGGCTACAATGGCTGGATTGACAATATTCGGTTGTGCATGTATTCGTCATAAGGATCCAAATACGAGGTACTTGTACCGGAGTGTAGGGAGCAAAGCCGAACCTGAGTGTGTTCGGTACTGTTGCCACTGTCGCCGATGTAACTATACGGCAGCGGCTACAATGGCTGGATTGACAATTTCGGGTTGTGCATGATTCGTCATAAGGATCCAATACGAGGTACTTGTACCGGAGTGTAGCGAAACAAAGCCGAACCTGAGTGTGTTCGGTACTGTTGCCACTGTCGCCGATGTAACTATACGGCAGCCGGCTACATTGGCTGGATTGACAATATTTGGTTGTGCATGTTTTCGGTCATAAGGATCCAATGTGAGGTAACTGAGTGTTGGCTACAATGGCTGGATTGACAATATTCGGTTGTGCATGTATTCGTCATAAGGATCCAATGTGAGGTAACTGAGTGAGGGAGCTGGAACTAAGGAATCAAGAGACGAACGCTGAAAAAACCCGAATGCTATTTCCTATTTCCTATTCCGGTGAAGCCAAAGTATAAGGATAGAGATAGTTATAAGCCAACAAAACTGAACATTGATGGTTCAATACAAGTTAGGGGTAGGAATAAATCATTAATATTTAAGGTTAGTGCAATCAGCACAACAGCACAATAAGCCAGCAGGAGCTGTAAAGGTTAGAGTTACAATAAGGGAATGGCAGCTGGTAAATTATAGAGTAGCGGGCGGCAACACACGACGTAGTCGGGTATTGTCGCCAGGGCTAGCTTAATAAAAAGAAGGTTGTAATGAGGGAATGAATCATACCGGGCGGCAACATACGACGTAGTCGGGTGTTGTCGCCAGGGCTGGCTTGAAAGATGGGTGCAATCTCGAACATGATCCTCCTTCTTCTATCTGGAGCGTTCCTCAATCGTGCATGACTTTAAATCCGACCCTAATTTAGGGTCGGTTTGGGGGAATCTGCCCTTAAATATAGGGACGGTTTCGAAACCCGACCCTAAATCGAAACCCGTCCCTAAATTAGGGACGTTTTTTCAGAAACCATCCCTATTTTTCAGAAAACGTCCCTATTTTTAGGGTCGGTTTCGAAACCCGACCCTAATATTGGTGCGTTTCAATGTATTTACCAGGCAGTCCCGTTTCTATTTAGGGGCGTTTTTCAAACCGAACCCTAAAATGAAACCCGACCCTAAATTAGGGACGGTTTTTCAGAAACCGTCCCTATTTTTCAGAAAACGTCCCTATTTTTAGGGTCGGTTTCGAAACCCGACCCTAAAGGGAATCCGACCCTAAATCCGACCCTATTTTAGGGTCGGTTTCATGCACGATTGAGGAATGCTCCTGTCTTTCTGCCGAGGTATCGCAGCTCCCGCTGACTTAATGCTATTTCCTATTTCCTATTCCGGTGAAGCCAAAGTATAAGGATAGAGATAGTTATAAGCCAACAAAACTGAACATTGATGGTTCAATAAAAGTTAGGAGTAGGAATAAATCATTAATATATAAGGTTAGTGCAATCAGCACAACAGCACAATAAGCCAGCAGGAGCTGTAAAGGTTAGAGTTACAATAAGGGAATGGCAGCTGGTAAATTATAGAGTAGCGGGCGGCAACACACGACGTAGTCGGGTATTGTCGCCAGGGCTAGCTTAATAAAAAGAAGGTTGTAATGAGGGAATGAATCATACCGGGCGGCAATACACGACGTAGTCGGGTGTTGTCGCCAGGGCTGGCTTGAAAGATGGGTGCAATCTCGAACATGATCCTCCTTCTTCTATCTGGAGCGTTCCTCAGTCGTGCATGACTTTAAATCCAACCCTAATTTAGGGTCGGTTTGGGGGAATCTGCCCTTAAATATAGGGACGGTTTCGAAACCCGACCCTAAATCGAAACCTTTCCCTAAATTAGGGACGTTTTTTCAGAAACCATCCCTATTTTTCAGAAAACGTCCCTATTTTTAGGGTCGGTTTCGAAACCCGACCCTAATATTGGTGCGTTTTCAATGTATTTACCAGGCAGTCCCGTTTCTATTTAGGGACGTTTTTCAAACCGAACCCTAAAATGAAACCCAACCCTAAATTAGGGACGGTTTTTCAGAAACCATCCCTATTTTTCAGAAAACGTCCCTATTTTTAGGGTCGGTTTCGAAACCCGACCCTAAAGGGAATCCGACCCTAAATCCGACCCTATTTTAGGGTCGGTTTCATGCACGATTGAGGAACGCTCCTGTCTTTCTGCCGAGGTATCGCAGCTCCCGCTGACTTAATTGAGTGGATTGTTATCAAGAGGACGGGGAGTCGAGTCGGAGGACGGGGTAAAAATCATCTCATCATTGATTGGGAGTAACAGACTGATGGGAGTGGAGAGTTTGTCCCGAGTGCTTGCCCGCGACAATTGCACCGTGGAACGATCGTGCCGCGGGGCTTCAGAGTCAGTCTCCACGCAGAAGCCCGTCTTTTCGTTCCCAGTCAGTTCCACGCAGAAGACAAACATTTATTTGATAGTTCTGTTGTTCCATTCATCAATAATGAACCAGGCAACATGACATTGACCGAGAAACCTCCTGAGACTGAGGCTGCTACCTGTACACAGCCTGCCTCTGCCATGAGCGAGGCCAACACTGCCACATCAACTCCGACGCCTTGTTACCCGACAAACTTGTATTGGTTCACCATATTTGCAATCATGATTTCTTGCCTTTCTTTATTCTTTGGCTGGTTGCATGGTGCATGCCAAGCTTTTCTAGCTTGCTTGCCAAAACGATGAATGTGGAGTCGATCGTGCTCTACAATGATGAGGAGCATCGCGAACAAACCTGGGATACCATAGGGGTTTTGCCATATCTGTTCTTTTGGAGCAGCATGTCGTCTGTGGTGAAGCCTGGTCTTGTGCTGCTGCTTTGTTGGTACGTTGTCCGGGATCTTTGCTTGGTTTTCTTGGTTGCTCCTACAGCCGCTGATGCCGTGAAAACACTGCAGAGTATGAAGGATAACTTTTGCCGAGCAAGCATGGATTTTTTCATGGCACCATACTTGAGGTATGTAACAGTCCTGATCCTCTTGGACAGGGCCCAGAGAGAAGCAGGCATTGGTTCTGCCATCAATAAAGAAGACATCGAGAACCAAAGCACACTGGATATGGTTGCAGCATCAATTCGACCGAGGCAGCAGTGGAAGTTGCTGCGCACTATTGCTTTCCTATTTGCCGATGTCTACTTCTTCATATTGCCGGTTGCAACATTCATGTTATTGCCGGCTTACTGCCAAACACTGGCCGGATTCGACTTTTCCTGTGTCATGTTTTATATGCTGCCGGGTGCAGTGATGGCCGGTCTCCTCTTTCGGGGAACATCTAGAGAGATTGACGGTGCACCTAAGGGTCGGGTATGGGTGGTGAATGTACCCTATGCGGAGGAATGGTGGAATAAAGGAGAACTGCGGTTTGATCTGGATGGAGCTCCAGTCTTGGACTCGTGTGCAGAAATGGCAAAGGATATTACATGTACGTTCCTGACCTGAAACTGTTGCAAATAATCGCTGGAGCAGTGAAGTATTTTCTGCTATGATATCTTAGATAATTATGGGATTAGCCTTATTGTTGTTTGCCAATGTCATCGTCATTGAATTGGTAGGTAAACAGTTGATAGTAGCGGTCTCCCTCCTCCGGAAACTTCCAAGCTCCTTTCTATTATTAATCAAGACTCTTCGTAAAGCAAGGAATTGACCATTGCCAAATAACAGACTCGATGTTCCCGCAGTACGCGAGATTCGTTGCGACTGATAGGAATTCGAAAAATGAAAGCCGCAACAAAATGAATGAAGAACGCTGGAAAGAACAGCCATCGCTGATTCGAAAAGGCGGTGGATAGCAGTAGGACCAAGTTCATAGTGAATATTGTCCGGAGGCCGACTAGGCGGCCCACAATCCACTCCACCGAGCTATGTTTTGCGATGAGAACTTCGTAACTCAATTTCCGGACATGCAAGGGAAAGAATGTGATGACCTGCAATAAAAAGAGCACAACTTGACTTCGAATTCCTCCTCCCAGGCGCAGAGTCTGAGTCACGCCGGTGGCATAGTCAGTTGTCGGGTCGGGCTCTTGATGAAGAATCATGTGTTAAGAAAAACAGACAAACGCAAGTGCATCGAAAACCAGATTTCCCACCGTAGACAAGGACGTATCTTCCACACTAAAGCTTCTTTCCATTCTGAAGCTTCTTCAGAAGTCGAGACACCATCCTTCTTCAGAGTTGGTACTTTTGCCATCGTCGCACATAGATGAAAATGAAGCAAAAGTAACCCTTCATGATCGTGAGATAGGAGCGAGCCCGAAACCAATGGGGTCAAAAGAATTGCGACAAGTAACGCATTCATCAAAGTATATAATATCTCTCGAGAGATGACAGTTGTCTCAATGTGATTGTGAAGCAGTGTCCACACGAGATACAAGACTGACTTGAACAAGAGCAGATACCATGGTAGATGACCGAATACGGTTGCCTTGTCTCTGTAGTAATCGCTTGCAACGGCAGCCATAGCTACAGCAGAAAAAAGGCAGTGAATATTTGCCAAATGAAAATGTTGACCTGCTTCGGGGAATAGTCCATTTTGTATCTACACAGTGTACAGCGTACTGGTTGTTTTGGAGCAACTCCGCAACTCTCTTCGGCAACGGTTGTGTGAAGGACAAAATGTGGGGCGGAAATTGAGAGTCGACCGGCCCAGAGGCTGGCCGTTTGGCTGGAATAACAGATGATCAAAATGCATCCTTTTTTAAGTCTGTTGTCCCCCGAGAGCCGGCAAGCCTAGTGTTAATTAATTACATGTAAAATACGAAAGGACCAAATCAAGGCAGCAGGACCGTCCGGACGTTTTTCGCTCAGGCTTTAAAACTTGACACGACTGACTAAAGTACAATTAAGGGCTTGTTTTCTAAGGGCTTTTTCAATGCCTTGTTGAAGCTTTAAGGGTTGTTTTAAGGGCTTGTTTATTTAAGGGTTTGTTGTCCTGATAAGGCTTTTCTATAGGGTTTAACATGAAGGCTTAAGGTTTGTTTGAGAACTTAAGGGCGGGGGGGGATTTTCTTAAGGGTTTGTTTTCTAAGTGCTTGTTTAATGGCTTTTTGAAGATTTAAAGGCTTGTTTAAGGGCTTGTTTCCAGTCATGGAAATCTGAAGTTTTTTATTGTGAAAAACGTTGGACGGTCCTGCAGAAGGACCTGTAGGTAAGTAGTACTAGTACTAGTACTTGCTCGAAGAAGGAGTACATGCACACGTAGTATCTTTGGACTCTAGCTAGCTACTAGCTAGTAGCTACTCCAGAGCTACCTGGTACTCTTGAGGAGTACAGAGGGTCTACCCAGGAGTTCCGGGAGTGTCAGGAGATGATCTGCTCGATCTACTCGAGTAGCTGTAGCGAGATCGTGGAGGTGGAGTGGGGCTCGTCCTTTGGTGCTGTGGAGAAAC